CCCTCCCTCCACAAACTTAAGGGATATCCCTTTTTTTTCTGTCTGTGAGTCTGTCTTTGTTTTATAAATAGGTTCATTTGTGTCCTTTTTTTTTAGATTCCTCATAAAAGTGATACGATATTTGTCTTTCTCTGACTTACTTCACTTAGTATGATAATTTCTAGGTCCATCTATATTGCTGCAAATGGCATTATTTCATTCTTTTTATGGCTGAGTAGTATTCCATTGTGTATATATACCACAACTTCTTTATCCAGTCATCTGTTCACGGACATTTAAGTTGCTTCCAGGTCTTGGCTCTTGTAAATAGTGCTGCTGTGAGTACTGGGGTGCATGTATCTTTTTGAACTGGAGTTTTCTCCAGATACATGCCCAGGAGTGGAATTGCTGGATCATATAGTAAGTCTGTTTTTATTTTTTTGAGGACTCTCCATACTGTTTTCGATAGCGGCTGCACCAAACTACATTCCCACTGACAGTGTAGGAGGGTGCCCTTTTCTCCACACCCTCTCCAGCATTTATCACTTGTGGACTTTTTAATGATGGCCATTCTGACCGGCGTGAAGTGATACCTCATTGCAGTTTTGATTTGCATTTCTCTGGTAATCAGCGATATTGAGCTCTGTTACTTCTTAACACCCATCTGTGTGGCCACCAGTACAGCCAGCTTGACCTCCCTCTGATGTGTCAAAGGCTTACAGTAGCTTCTTTGTCTCTTCTCTTTTTTCCCTTTTTGATGAAATATAATCCTCTGTTCCATAAATGCTTATGGCATCCCTACTGTGTTCAAGGTGCTGTGTTGTACACAAGTGTATGTAGTATTTAAATGTGACTCAGGGAAGTCTCTGACAACAGAAGGCATTTGACAGGCAGTAAATTCGGTGACTGGGAATGCAGGGTCAGCAGAACCTTGGGATTGAGAGCTGGCCCTGCCACTTACCAGCTATGTGAAGTTGGGCTGTTTTTTTCTTTTTTTCAACCTGAGTCTTAATTTCCTCATTTGTGCAAAAATGATCATAGCAGTGCCTCTCATAGTAGGTAGTTCCTTGATAAAGAGCCTGGCACAGGCTAAGGGCTCAATAAATTACTCAATAAATAAACTACTATTATTATCTTTAGTTTATTATTGTTGCCAGCTGTGGAAGATGCCTGAGCAAATAGGCCACTGTTTCATAAGTGTTGATATTTTTGTTTATAAAGTGTTAATAGTTTGGTTAAAAAATACAGTTAAATCATCACATTTTTGTAATCAGCCCCCCCGCCCCCAAAAAACAAAAAAACCTGTCTCTGCCTGCAAAACCCAGTTCTTCTCCTCCCAAATCCATGTTCCCCTTCCTCCTCCTTTGGGAACCTACTTCGTCAAGGTACTGAGCTATGTGCTGAGCATACAGCAGTTAAATGAGACATAAAAAATGAAAGAAAAGTAGCCCGTCCTTACTCAGGTGTTCACTCAGCCTGCTGGTATTATTTTGACATCTCCTCGTTTATGTGTAGGTTGCTTTACACACATTCTTTCCTCTCATGCCATGTTTGGTACAAAGCTCACACTGGTCCCCAGTAATGTTGCCAAAGACATCACAGGACCAATGCGCACACCTGCAAAGCAGAGGAGGAGCACCTTAGACCCTTGGAAGGAATGCTGGTAGGTGGTTCCTTGGTGGTGCTTACCTCCCTCCCTGTTCCGCAGTCTTTTCACTCCTAGGCCCAGATGACTCTAGAACAGCATTATAGAAAAGGACATTTATATGTTGGTCTCTTGGTTTTTTATCTTGGCTTGCAAAACTGAGGCCCATGAATGTAAAAACACAGGCCCATAGGCTTAGAAGGGGAAAAAAAAATGTAAGTGACCAAAAAGTAGCCTTGGTGATTTACAGCTTCACTTAAGGGGTTATAATACAACACTAAAGTAAGTTTCATGATTTTGAGAACTTTAATCTGTTCATGTGAACTGTTAAGATATACTGACATAAAAGAAAAACCACAGTTGATTTTTGCAAGTCTATACAAATAGTCTAGTCTGATCCAACCGTGTGAACTTTGTTTCATTTCTTGTTCTGTGCTAGTATTTATTTTGAAGAGAACTAAGATTGAAGGAAAGTGGAATCAATATTGAAAACAATAGTGAGGTATATATAATCTGACAATAAGAGCCAGGAGCCAAGAAAAGGTCCATACGTTAATGTAAAAATTCCATTTGGGGATTAATTAACCTCAGAGGTTAATTTAGAATATGAGAAAGGACAGACGCATTATTCATTTCTTCATTGCTATGGTGTTGGCAGGAGTGAAAATTTGGAAGCAGTTTTGGTGCCCTATAATAAGAATAAGTTATTAAATTCCTACTCAATAAACTATTGTGTAACCTTTTAAAATAATGGTTATGAAGATTATGTGGCAACATAGAAAATACTTAAAATGTCATGCCTCAAGGGAAAAGAGCTGAAGATTTCACCACCCAAAGGAAAAAGATGAAAAGGAAATACAGCAAATGATAACAGCTGTGTTTGGGTAATGGCATGATGATAATTTTTTTCCCTTTTCTCTCATGATTATTTTAATCAGTTTCCAATTTTATAAGTTAGAAAACCAATTAAAAGCTCTCAAATAAAAAAGCCAGTATTTAAAGCCGGAAAGAATGAAATGGAGTTACTTTAAAGTTAGCTGTCCTGCACACAGTTTCATGAGGGATTTCACATGGGACAACATTACAAACAGTTACTGCAGTTTGTAGGGTGGGGTGGGATGGGGTGGGTACCCATTTATTCTGAGAGTTGTTGGGTGACTGGGACGACAGTGGAATAATAGTGTGAGAAACTAGACCCTCCCACCCCCAGCTGTCAGTAATTCCACCTAGGGCTTCAGGAACCAATTGCTGCTCATTCAAAGCGTGGCTTGCCCCTGGAGACTGCCTTCCATAGGCCATTGTGACGGTGATGGTGGCGTGTGGCCTGGCCTCCTCACCAGCTCCCGGAGGACCAGGCATTGAACGGAGGAGCCTGGGCAGCTGTTTTGGCTTGGGGTTGCTGGTCATCAGAGACACGGCCGCCTGTGCTGTGTTGACCTGGAGGTGAACAGTCCCCTTTCTCGTTCCCACTCCCCGGAGGCAACAGTCCCTCATTAGGGTACAGTTTCTAATCCAAACAACCATTAATCTTTCTCAGGGTTAAAAGGCCAGGAAAGCAATTTTTTGCACTCCCTATTTGGATACTGTACTTGTCTCTATTTTATGAGAGCAGACTTGCCTCACTGACCACTAGAAAACACCCCACGGCTGTGTCCACAGCTATGCAAACAATGCCAAGCCCAGTACAGCGCTCCCTGTGCACCGGGGACACAGGAGTGCAACACAGCAGCTACTTATTGTGGCGACTGACAAAAACCCGAGAAATGTGGCCAGCTTGAAACCAATTTTGTATCAAGAAATAAAGTAGGGATGATGTATATGAAGTGAAAATGTCACCACATATGATCATTTTATGAAAGTGATATTATACAAACTTTTGAATACTATTCTTTTAATTTTTGTTTCCTTAGCAAGTAAATTAATCCATATAAATGCAGCTATGACCCCCCCTAAGAACTTTTTGATCTTTTAAGGAAATGAATAGATAAATAGAATTTGACTTAGGAAAAATGCACTCAGTGAATCATGAGTGTTTGGTTTACAGAAATGGGCATAATCTCCTATGTCACACTCTTTTAATAGCTGGTGAATCAAGGAATACATCTTTTCCATATTCTTAAATTGTAGGGACCAAAATGAAGAATATTAGGATAAGGAACACGGAGGCTTCCTAAATCTGTTTCTTCATGCCTGACCTTTAAATCCTTCCTTTACAGAGTCATCATCAGTATGAATACCAAACACTCCTGGTGAGTCACACTGAGACAGCTGGTTACTGGTAGAAATGGCATCGAACATTTAAGAGAGACAGAGAATGCATTTTCATATCTCAAATTATTTTACATTGAATTTCCTAAACTCAAAACCTCCCATTAAGGACAAGGTAGCACATAAAATCTAGTCATAGTATTTTCAAGCTAGAAGAGGCCTTGATTGAATAAAATAAGACTTAGACAGACCAAGGGACTGGAGTGGAGCCCAGGGCCCTGGACTTCTAGTCTTTTTTTTTTTTTTTTTTTTGTCAGAGGAGGTAATTAGGTTTACTTCTTTCTCTATTTTCAGAGGAGTACTGGGGACAGGACAACATACATGGTAAGCACGCACTCTACACTTGCGCTATACCCTCCCCACCTCCTGGACGTCTGCTCTTCTGTTGTCCTAAGGGTGCCACATCATCGTGCAGAACATATTATAAGATGTCTAGAATTTACCTGAACTTTCTTTGGGGAGGGGGTGGGGGACATATGTTTTTGCTGTGCCAAATGTATTTTTGAAACCTTCACTAACAACTTTTACTTAAGTTTCCTGAAGGATCTCAGATGGGCAGAGGGTTTAGCTGTCCTCTGCCTTTTTCACAAAGCTTCTTTCTCAGATTCTCCTAAAAAGCTGGAGGGAATTTTAGCTAGATATAGCCTGCGAGGTATGGCTGAAATTCTTTTGGAACTGTCTCGTGCTTGCCTTTTTGGGCAGTTGGCATAAAAAATTTGAACGTTCTGTAGGAACTAAAACTATACCTTATGATACCGTTTCTAAGTAAAAAAAAAAAGTCACATATAATTATCTATATATATGCATACAAAGTTACTGGGAGAACATATATTTTAAAATTTGGGTTTTTTTTAACAGTGGCTATCTTTGGATGGTATAATATGAACAAATATTTTCTTGTGTTTCTCTTTGTATTACTAGTTTTTGGTACTGAACATATTTTATGTTTGTAATAGGAAACTCCAAATAAACAATATTTAAATGTTATTTTTTAAATCCCAAGGGAATGAAGATGTTTATAGAGATAAAGTGGGCCTGGGAGGGCTGAATGGCATGGTAATGCCCGACTCATCTATTAAAAAAAAACAAAACAACCACCCTGTTGTAATTACATACTTATTTGATTGACACTTTAATCCAATTTAAAATACGAATAAATCTGCAAGTACACGGAGATCCAGACTGCCAAAGCTTGAGCAGGCAAACCCCAGTGTGGTCACCATTGTGAGGAAAACTCAGCCGTGGACAGTTTCTGTAGGCGGGACATGACTGGAGGCAGACGATCAGGCTACTCAGGCTTGACTTGCGTCCTGAAGTCTATAAACCACAACGTGGCCTGGTTTTGAATTCATTTATTCTGAGCACCAGAACCATTTTCCAAAGAGGGAATTACCATGTAGGATATTTGTGTTTTTCTCAGAAGAACAATTTATTCACCAGAGGGTCCACCTGTAATATTCTAGCCCTTTGGATTTGTTTTTGCCTTTTTAATATTAGTTACTAGTATTTTTATAAAATAAGATGAATCTGCCCTAAAACAGCAAAGTGATATCTTTCTTTTCTCTTCCCCTTTTAAAAATTAGAAAATATGTGCTTATTGTAACAAATCTAAACAATGCAGATGTTTGTAAAATAAAAAGTGAAAGTATATAATATAAAGTGAACATTTTCTTTTCATTATCTAGCCTCCAAATTGTTAATATTTTGATGTGTAACCTTTCTATGTAGATATTGACATATCTTTATATATAATTTGAAAAGTAAAAATGAGAGTACTAATATATAACTGTCCTACAACTTACTTTTTCCCTACTTAGCAGTTTATCATGGACGTATTTCTAATAGGTTTACTTCATTCTTATTAGTAGCTCAATAGAATTCCATTATTTAATACACCATGATTTACTTATCTATATACTATTAATGAATACTTAAATTCTTTCAAATTTTACATTATTAGAAACTGTGCTGCCAGAAATGTCCTTGCCATATTTCTTTACACACTTGTGCTAGTATTCATGCAGGATAAATTTCTAGACAAAGGATTGATTATTGGACATAGGATATATGCATTAACATTTTTGATGGATACTGAGTTTTTGCTCTTTTGATACATGGAGCAGGGGCAGTCCACAGGTTTGGGGCAGGTTCTGTGAAGTCAAGCTGAGGGTCCCAGATACTGGGCATTTGTCCAGCCTATTTTATGGAAGTAGCTGGACTTGGAGCATCAAGGAATCTTCTGCAGGATAAATTCACGTCACATTCAAACTGGTAACAGGTTAAGTTATATGTGGACATGAAAAGACACAGTTCTTGCTAGATCAGCTTCTGTTTTCAGAACTACGATGGCCAATGGTAATTCCTTCCATGAAAATGAAAATTAGTACAGTTTCATTGACGCTTCAAACAGAACAGACAGATCTTCTTCTGACTGAGGGCGTGGTGCAAGCTTGGTGACCCTTTCCTGAAACAGTGAACAGAGAGTTACTCAGGGCTGTCAAGAGACAGTTCGTAAAAGCAACTAGGTGTGTAAATGGACTTGGTCATGAGAAACAGTGACTAGATAATAGTCATATTTTCAAAAATCCTATTTCTTGTTTGCTTCGTACCAAGCTGATCCTCAGCTCAGAAGTTTATCAAGTGATGCCTCTTTCCCGCAAGTTTTCAAAAGGCATTACTCTTGCCTTAGGTCCTGAGAACAGCCTTCTGCTCAAATGTACAGAACCCAGCCAAGCTCGGGAAAGACACCTCCAGCAGTGTCGGTCAGCCACCTCTGCCAGGTTCTCCGTGCACAGAGAGCAGCATGTGCTGCCAAGGAAAACATCTGGTCACCCTTGACTTCAAAGACTGTGTATTTTGTAACTTGGATTTGAGGTATATTCAAAAAGACTTTCACTAGAACATTAGCTTTCAGGCTATGGGCCACAAGTGACTCTTTTTTTTTTTTTAATATTACCTAAGGTTTTATCTCTATCTTCCCAAAAGAATTCAGTGATTTCCTGAATTTCTCTGATGATTACTGAGTGGAGTTGGCAAAGACACCAGCACATCCTACTGCTGTCTACACTCCCGTCAGTGGCTCCTTAATCCCTCTGGGACAGGGGATTAAAAGATACGAAAATGTAGTCCCAAATTTCTGGGCCTAAATGAAATTAAAAAATGCGCCAGTGTTTTGGTCCCATTTTTGTAGGTTTCTTTGTTCTTTTTTTTATGACAAGCCCCTGTGTTCAAGCATTGTGGTAGAAGAGGGAAGCTCGGGGCAGAGCCGCGCCCAGCGCCCAAGAGTGCTTGACACGCAAGATGCAGGTGCTCACCAGTTATTGGCTGGATTAATAAAAATGATGGGAGGGAGATGCTGGCATCTCAAAATTCACACGTACAAGGTAGGACTAGGACTCCCATTTTTCCTTCTCTCAGAAATGACACCCATTCACTCAGGCAAAAACCTAGGAGTCATCCTTGGTTCCTCCTTCCCTTTCCTACAAGTTCAATCCACCTGCAAAATAAATCCCAAATCTGACCACTTCTCACCTCCCGTTCCTACACCACCCGTCTTCGTCACCATCCACCCCTGCCCGACTTGAAAGGCCGCTTCGAGTTTTGTTTCCACTTTTGCTGCACTCTCGCCCCCTAGAGGTCATTCTCCCCACGGCCGCCAGAGCGAGTCTTCCCCTTCACAAACGTGGTCGTACCATCTTCGGCTTAACGCTCTCTGAAACCTGCCCACTGCAGTTAGAACAAAACCACGTCCTCTCACCCTAGCTGGACCTGGTCCTGCTTCTCACCCAGCGCTGACTCTTCTCCCTTCGTTCATGTCAGTTACACCCACCGTCCCCAGTCCCGAGAAGATGCTCATGTTCACCCGGGCCTGCCCCCATGCCTGCAGTGCTGCTCCCAGCTCTTCCCCTGGTTGCTCCACCACCGATCAGAGGCCGCCTGTGACCACCCTCACTGGAGTGCCCACCACACTGTCCCACGTGGAATCACTGTCTCATCACCCAGGTTTCCTCCATACCACTAATCACTAATCACTATCTGAAATAATTTCATTTGTACTGATTTATACATTGGATTAGCTGTCCATTGCCTGTCTTCCTCAGCAGAATGTAAACTCCACAAGGGTGGGGAGGGGCTTTATCTTCTTCACTGTATCCCAGACAATTCATGGTATAGTGTAAGACTTCAATAAGTATTTGTGGGGTAAAAGGAAGAATGAAAAGAAGGAAGGATGTATACAAAAATTAACTTTAAATGCACCTAAATGTAAAGAACTACATGTAAGAGCTAAAGCCTGAAAACTCTTAGAAGAAAATGGGAAAATATTCATGACTGCGGATTTGGCAATGATTTCTTGGATATGACACTAAAACACAGGCAACAAAAGAAAAAAACCCAGATAAATTGGACATCATCACAAGTAAAAACTTTTAAGCATCAAAGGACACTATCAAGAATCTATAAATAATTGCTACAACTAAATAACAAACAACCCAACCAATTCAACTCAAAAGTAGGTAAAGGACTTGAACAGATATTTCTTCAAAGAAGATATGTAAATAGCCAATAAGCACATGAAAAGATGCTCAATATCCTCAGTCATTAGGAAAATGCAAGTTAAAACCACGAGTTACCACTTCACACCTATTACATCGGCTGCCAAAAAAGTGGAAAATAACAAATGTTGGTGAAGATGTGGAGAAACTGGGAGCCTTGTGCATCATTGATGGGAATGTATAAAACGGTGCAGCTACTGTGGAAAATAGTTTCGCACTTCGTGAAAAAGTTAAAGATAGACTTATCCTGTGATCCAGCAATTCTGGTCCCAGGAATATACCCAAATGAATTGAAAGCAGGGGCCAAAAAGAGATACTTGGACACCAGTGTTCATAACAGCACTATTCACAATAGCCAAAGGGTGAAAACAGCCAAGTGTCCATCTGCAGATGAATGGATAAACAAAATGTGGCATACCCGCACGATGAAATGTTACTCAGCCGTATTAAGAAATGAAATTCTGACACACTGAAGACACTATGCTAAGTGAAGACATAATGGAGACACGAAGGGACAAATACTGCATGATTCCACTTACGTGAAGTACCTAGGATAGGCAAATTCATAGAGACAGAAAGTAGAATAGTGGTTACCAGAGGCTGGGAGAGGGGAGAAGAGGGACTTAATGTTTTCCATTTAGCAGCAGAGCAGAGCTTCCATTTGGGATGATTAAAAAGTTCTGAGAAGAGATAAATTAGGAGCTTGGGATTAACATACACACTATTATATAGAAAATAGATAAATGACAAGGACCTACTGTACAGCACAGGAACTATATCCAATATCTTGTAATAACCTATCATGAAAAAGAATATATATATATACACATATATATTATAAATAACTGAATCATTTTGCTGTACACCAGAAACTAACACAACATTATAAATCAACTATCCTTCAATAAAAATAGATAAATTAGAAAAAAGTTCTGGACATGGATAGTAGTGACGGTTGCACAACATTGTAAATGTACTTAATGGCACTGAATTGGACATTTAAAAATGATTAAAATAGTGAATTTTATGTCAGGTATGTTTTACCATAATTAAAAAAAAAAGAATGAATGGACAGAGGGGAGAAGGATGAGGGGCAATGCTAAAGAGTATGGTTGAAGCCAAGGTAAAATTTCATGTCCCAGCACATCTTTTAGAGACCCTAAAGAATTCTGAAAATCCACCACAAGGCAGAGACATGTTCGTGGTGACTTATGTCTGTATACGTCTATGGCAGAGACCGGAACTGAAGTTCGGTTTTGCCATGGTCTAAGATTGCCACTTTATTCTGTTTACAGTGGGAGAGAGTCTTATCTGATGAGCTCAGAGGCCCTTAAAACAACCCTGCTTATCTTTGGGGAAGTAGTTCAGAACTCTCAGCTCAGGCCAAGCTGAGAGATTCTCTTTCACGTTTCTAACCCCCAACGATGGGTTAAACGGGGGCAGGGATGTAAAGTTTCTGTTATATCCTGGCACATACCAGCTATGCCATATGAAAGCTACCAACTCAGAACTGAGATGTGTTCCAAAATGTGCTATTTATAGACACATGAGACTGAAGGACAGCTGATTAACATGGGCACTGAAATAAATTCAGACTACTACTTTGAGCACATTCATAAAACAACATTTCAGCTGGCCTGTCTGCCAGGGGGTGGAAGTGCTCATTTTGGTAGACAGCTCTCCTCGGTAATGAAATGTTTTGATTTGAAATGTAAATGTTTCTTTCCAGAGGTTTCAGAAGTCCAGCTTGGAAGATTAATTTATTCTTGCCTGCTCCCTCTGCAGCCTGGCCACGGCAGTTGGAAGCCCCTGTACACAGGGCTGCTATTCGCCGCCACCAGTTTGGGCTGTGCTGTTTGGTGGAGAATACTGGCCTGGTTGTTCGTTCCAGAGGAAGCCGATCCCTCCTTGCTGAACATAAAAGAAGCTTTATCAAATGTCGACTACATGCAGTAACCCTACTGGCAATGTTCTCTGCAGGAACCAGTATATCCCTCTCACTACCTTAAATCCTGTCGCTACTAATAAGTGACGATTAATCTGCTGCATCGGTGAAATCCTGAAGTTGCCATAGCATTCCTATAAAATGTCCACTGCTGCCAAACACAAAACAAAACAAGAAAACCGAACACCTAAATAAAAGCCAGTTCTTCAACTGCAAAACAGGCAAGCTTATTTCTAAGATTCCTTTGAATATCCCCCTTCCCCCATACCTCTGTCTCTCTCTCTCTCTCTATATATATATGTATCCCAAATTGACTTCAATGTTGAACTAGTGCCAGTTAATGAAAATTAACTGGTCTTCTCCTAATCATGAAAACATGATCAAAGGGAGAAAAAAAAAAGGCAGCATACACATTGGGGCCGCTTTATGAGTACAGCTTGAGGAAATCCTGGCTTCCTATTTAGACATGACTTGTATTCGAAAGAGTCAATTCACCTTGCATCTTTTGTGAAACTAAGAAATTGGTTTTGTCTAATTAAGGTTCTGTTATGTGTGATTTCCCAGTATGACATGTGCACTGAGGCATTCGGAGTGATACCTAACTAACTTGCTATTTTAGTGGATGGTCTTGAATGTTAGTCTGAATTTCTTGCTGTTGGGAACAGCTTTTGAAAGTGGAAGTCTGAGCACAGTAGAATTAAAACCGTCAGCACCTACCAGTCTGTGCTGATGGCTGGAAGATCCATTGCCACCAGCAACTAAATGGCCAAGAATGTCATCCAGTTTCATCTGAAAATCATGAATACCATTCTTGGAGGCTGATCAACACAAAGCCCTGAATAGTTTTCTGGGCTAAACAAGAAGAACTTTTCAGAAAACCCCTTGAAGAATGGACACTTTTGCTGGAACAATGCTATAAGAGCCAGAGGCTACATCAAAATTGTGGTGACCACTTGGTCTCTGGTGTCCCTGGACAGGTTTTCATGACTCCTTATCATTGGCTGAGTCCTACTGAGTCTAAGGAAATTGCTCAAAAAGTGGCCATATTCAGCTATTAAGCTCAAATGGACAGAAGATTTAGGAGGAGAGGGTTACAGGTAGTGCCTATTTAAGACGTTGGCTAGCCCACGCTAGGTGCTGTAGAAAATGGATGAGCAAAACAGACAGGCTCCTGCCTTCATGGAACTTTAAATCTAGTAGGCTTAGATAAAATAACTGTGATGGTCATGTTTTTATTTAGTCCCTTGGACTTACGGGTTAGGACTATGGGTTAGAATTTTGAGACTCCCCTTTTTCTCATTCACTTGTATTTTTGAATGCAACTGAGTTCACTGGGCCTGACTCTGAGTCAGGGAAACTGGTGGGTCATGGGGAATGTTTGGTTTGTACATAGAAAAACCAGGGGGTTCAACACACACATCCGGTTGCTGTTTTTTCTTTAAAAATCTCAAGTTCTGCCAACACTGGGACCTGAATTTATGCTTGGTGGTAATAAACTGTAGCTAACAAGCTGCTCACCCAATGAGATGGGTCATGTGCTTTCCAGTTCATCACAGTCCCCACCACTCCCTGTTGCCTTAAATTACTTTATTCATTGCTAGGATCCACCTGGTAGATATGGACAGATAAGGCTGTGAAACCAATCCATACAAATATTTTCTAAAGTGAGTGGTGAGATCTTCAGCACTCAAGCACTTGCTCGCTGGAGAAGAAGCCAGTTTGAGGCTTGTGCTTAACTGGAGTGGACTGAGGGAAAAGCACTGCCATGGGTGGTGAGCAAGATGCTGTGTGAGTGGATGTTCTCGCTGTCAACTCTGCTCCAGGGTCAGGGATGGATACAGGAACTTTGGGCAGAAGTGCCTTATCCTCATATCCTCATAGTGTTTTTTTTTAATTGAAGTATAGTTGAATACAATATTGTGTTAGTTTCCAGTGTAGAGCAAAGTGATTCAGTTTTAAAGATACGTATTTTTACAGATAATTTTCCATTATAGGTTATTACAAGATATTGAATATAGTTCCCTGTGCTTTACAGTAAACCCTTATTGCTTGTCTGTTTTATGGATAGTAGTTTGTACCTGTTAATCCCATACTCCTAATTTATCCCTCCCCCTTTCTTCCCCCTTTTGTACGATAGGTTTATTTTCTGTGTCTCTGAGTCTATTGCTGGTTTATATATAGATTCATTTATATTATTTTCTTAGATTCCACTATAAGTGATATCAAGTGATAATTGTCTTTCCCTGACTTACTTCACTTTGTATGATAATCTCTAGTTCCATCCATGTTGCTGCAAATGGCATTATTTCGTTCTTTTTTATGGCTGAGTAATATTCGTGTGTGTGTGTGTGTGTGTGTGTGTGTGTGTGTGTGTACACACCACATTTTCTTAACCAATCATCTGTTGATGGGCAGTTGGGTTCTTTCTGTATCTTGGCTATTGTTAATAGTGCAGCTGTGAACATTGAGGTGCATGTATCTTTTTGAATTAGAGTTTTCATCTTTTCCGTATATCCTTACAATGTTTAAGTGATCCTTGCCTTTCCCATTTTGAACAGAGGACTAAGTGAGCACTCTAGGCCTAGTGAGCATGGTGTCATCTCATGACTCTGAACTCTGTGATTTATGGTGAATTACAATGAACAGGGTCAGCCCATTAGGTTCTGGTACTGTAACATAAGGGTATCGGGTCCTAAAAGGAAGAGAGGTCCAATGTCGAATAAACTCTTTTCATGAGAACCTTGAGAGGGGAAACTTTACGTCTATTATGATTCTCCCATATAAAGGATAGTTGCTCAGTTTAAATTCTTTAGGAACATATAAATAAATGAAATAGGACTCGAAGTGATAGACTTATGTAAAGATGTCTATGCATAAAACACAGTCTCCCAAATATGTTAAAAAGTGATTTTGTAATCATCTTAATTTAAAGGCAAGGGGTGGATATAGCTCAGTGGTAGAGTGCATGCTTAGCATGAACAAGGTCCTGGGTTCAATCCCCATTACCTCCATTAAAAAGGTAATAATAAAATTTAAAGGCCATGTCTATTCTTTAAAAAAATAGTAGAATGTGTAACTTTTTATAATGGAAAATAATAATAGTGGCCTTTTTGGAATAGCTTTACATAGCTTTGTAGCATTCTCTTAAAAGAGCAGAAATGGAGAAAAGGGAAATTCTGCTATACTCAAGATAAATTTAGTTGCTTCTGCCTTAAAGTTTTGTAAAGGATCCTTTTGTTACAGCGACAAAGTGTCACACATGCCACAGTGTAATGGAAGAATGTAAAGGTGAGGGGGCCTTGGCCCCTTTCCACTGGGGAAGGGGAGAGCCGCTGCCTGGTGTGGAGACCTCAGAGCTTCTGGAGGGCCCCGAGGTTTTCATCTCCTCTCCTAAGATGCCCCGCATGGACTGTCTCTCTCCCATAGCTTTGTGCTCCCTACAGGGGAGCGAGGATGAGCCGCATCTCTTACCTGGGGCAGCGTTCCTTTCACTAACGCGGGGATATCAGCCTTGGAGTAACCAATGGCAGCTAAGCCATCGTCAACATCCAGATCGAATAAGAATTTCCTCAGTGTATCTGCCAGAATGGGCCCGGCATCTGGGATCCTGGCAGTGCGGGTGTCAGCCCCTGGAAGACACAAAGCACTGACTGTCGACAGAGAGGAGGAAGCTGGCGCTGTGTGTGATTCAGTCACAAGATAGCTGAATACATAACCTCTGCCGGCTCCCTCACTGGAGGACAAGGCACCGCTGGGCCTCCACGTGGAGGCAGGCCCAGAGGTCAGCCTTGCAGGAGACAGATGGGCCAGGCCAGCCCAGAGCCCCAAGAACCTCCACAGAGAAGTCGGCTGGGGGCCTGACTTGGCTCTCACATTTCCAATGGGCTGCTCGCCCCGTGTGTGGTGGGAAGAAGAGAAACAAAGCCAGGAACAGAGGCACTGGAAGGGGACCAAGAAAGATGGCTTGTGTTTGGATGAGGAGGAATGAGCATCCGTGGGAGGAAGCACAGCTTATGTAACTTTCAAGGCTTAGAATTTGCTGACATCTAGAGGTCTCCATGTTCAGTGCCCTTCCTCACAACAACATCTTAGGAAACGAAGACAAACCCTTTGCAAACACCTTGTGAGACAAGGACCTACAGAAGTGCAAAAACGTTAACTGCCAAAAAGGAGGAAAATGAGAGAAATGTGTAGGTGTGGCCAGGGAAGGAAATATTTCCTCTCTGTAGCTATAAAACTTCTTTTTTGTACTCTGTTGCCAAAGGGCAGGTTCTTCTAATATATTTTACAGAACCTGTCAGGCAGAGTTAAGAATATGGAGACTCTCAGAAAGCAGTATTTAACATGTAGATAATAATGATATTGTGAACAAGGGAGAGGGTTGCCAAGGGTGGGCGATTTGTAAGGGCAGAATTTGGACATAATTACTAATTAATACATGAAATCATAGAGGCATCAACTTGGAGGAGCCAGGGGGCTCTGCCCTCTGGGTGGCAGTGAAAAGTTCCCAGAGGAAAGGAACTGATTCCAAACCCTTAGCACCCCTGCCTCCATCCATTCTGATGGGACACGTTCATTGCTAGGAAGTTAAACACTCTGTAAATGGACTGGCACATTTTTGACTTATTATCCAAAATGGCTCATGATCGTAGCCCAAGTCTGTATGGGTCAAAAAGAGACTGGAATGCTCAGTTCACCTCCATACCGACTTCACCATTCTGAAGTCAGTCCTAACCTTTCTGTTCTGCCACAGAGAGAACTGTGTAAGTTATCCAGGAAAAGGTGTAAGTAGAACCAGTTACAGAGGTAGCTGGGAGAGCAGCTGGGCAGAAGGTGAACCTCGCCTGACAAGAGCAGCCCGCGTTACACGGCAGCGGCTCGAATATGGGTTAAGTGGTGAGGAGACACACGGTGGGGTGTACGAGGGTTTTACGTTCCCGGGATTGCTGCCATAAGACACACTGTCAAACCCTCCAGGCCTTCCTATGAAGTGTTTTAGAGAAAAAGAGAGGATAGGAAAGAGAATACATTGGTCTAAAGCTAAGAAAAATCCAGGATTACATAGGGAATCAAAACACTGAATGGTTAAATAGGACCAGAATTTCCTATGCAAGGAGAAGGAACCGGGCATTCGTCCGGCCTGGGCTTTGTCTAACAGAGGACTTGCTTTCTCAGTGATTCTGTGGGTGGCCTGGAATGTCAGGTTTAGGTTCTCCCAGATTTCCCCCCTTACCCTACCTCTAGCCTACTGTTTGGGCTCCTGCCTATTTAAACTGTTTGTGTAGTTACACAGGACCTGGATCCCCACACAGGGCTCAGCAGCGGCCCTGGTCTGAAAGGGAAAAGGGACACAAGGTCCTCGGAAAAGTCGGCACCACGTTTCCAGCAGCACGTGCTGGGAACCCGAGCCCGGGGCTTCTTTCAGGAACACTCCCGAATGTGAGAAGTGGGGGTGCAGCGGCCCCTCGGGAAGGATGTCTGTGGTCGTTCCCACCGTCTCGCAAATAATCTCTCCAGAGGCTGCTGCTAGAAGAGCAGAACGCAGTTTTCTTTTTAGCTTTTCTCTTTCCTCCCTAAACGCAAGTAGGGGACTAGATGTTTTAAAAGTTAGTCAAATACTTAAGTTTCCTTAAAAGAGCTCCTGTATTAGAAAAATACCAATATTTTACATAGCATGGAAGTGATCCTAGATAAAATTGTATTTCTTGTAAGATTCAAAAGACACTGTGAGTATCTTATTATAGACATTATTTATTCTACAGAACAGCAAACGAATTCTTCTTTGGGGATCTTTTTATAGTTTCTAGTTTTTTAATTTCTCTATAATTGGGAATTGACTGTTACTTCCTGATTTAGATTCATTTTATTTCCTATTAACCAAAGCAAACATCACTTATAATATTTATGGTATATAAACAGTTTCACTTTCCTTGGGGATAAAAATAGTGGAAATATTATTACTATAAACTTAAGCAATATTTGGTTCCATTTCACTGTTAATAGACTCTTAGAAACATAAAATTAAAGAATTTTAGTGCTAGGTAGGAATTTGGGCAGGTCACTGACATTTTATTATTAAATTATCTCAAAGCAATATTTTTTGGAATTATCCTTTATGGTTTATCTTCAGGAGCAATCCTAGGAAATGCTCCACGTATGTGGATCACAGACTTACGAGTGATGGTTCATACCCAGTATTTCTGCTGTCTCCAGGTGCCGCTCAGGAGACATCTGTGCTGTGAATGTGAACACCGCCGGGGAGGTGAGTACCACAGAAAGGCCATGAGGCTGGAGAGAAACAAAACATGGTGACCGATAGGGCAAAGCTGGTCTTCCACCTGCGTATTCTAAATATTAAATATTTACCCTGTAGTCCAAGCAATCAAGAATTGACAAATACATGTATGGCAACTGCGAGGAGTTTAAGACTTAATTAAAGAATTTATTATGATTTTACCACCAGTGGGTGATCCACTTTATAGTCCTTGGCTTTATATTTCTTCACTAAGCCCGAAATTGGGTAAGACATTCCATGGCTAGAAAAGAAAGAAATTCCTTATGTTGACATATAGATATCAGAAATCCAAGTTAACAGCACAAAGATACTCCTACGGGAGAGCCCTTCACAGTCTCCTGACAATATTATTAACCCACAAAGTTAAACATTCTGTTTTCCTTGATTCCTATGAGGATATATTATTACTCAATTGGTATTTGGTGTATTCATGGACAAAACCTCCAAGATGTTCAAATTCAAATGCTCACAGAATTGTATGCCATTAAAAAATATTGATGCAGAAGTTGCTCCCCAAGCAGACTGGTTAACCTCATTACCTTGAAGAAATCAAGAATTCACCTTAAAGTTTCTATAATAAGCTTCAGGGTATGCATTTTCTGTCTTGCTCTGCACTGCCTTCGCAGTGTGTTCCTTCACAAACTGAAGATATCGGTGGGTGTTTTATGAGCCAAGACATACTGTAAGCTAGATCTGCCAGTGATCTGTCTTGCCAATGATTGATACGTCCTTTTAAATGCTACGTACTAATGGGAGGTGAATCATACATGATTATTCCAGCCTGCAAGGCTGTCAAGAAAAGGCACCTTGTAATTTTTTATTTGTGGGTTTTTTTTTGGTTTGTTTTAATGGAAAAACTCTTTATATCCTCTGAAGTTCTTAGTGAACACACAGGACAATATAACAGTTTACTAGATGACCCAGAGGATACACGCTGTGAGAAGTTAATATGTTTACAATTAATATATTGAAAATGAAGTACTTTATAATAATAAAATGGTCTGTAAGTCTATTCATGTGGGTTATTGGATGACTTTGTTTTTTATTTTCTAAAAGATTTACATTTCATAGAAAGATGAAGTATTTTGGTGGACTGTATGATTAACGTATCCAAAAAAGGTGCCTGGTGTGTGTCATCTTTCTCGAGCCAGATCAGAAGCCATTGGTTCCCTGAGTTGTTGTTGGATACTTAGGAAAGTGCTTTACCTTTTTTGGCTCCACAGTATTCAGAAAATTATTGCTCAGTGTGCTTTCTCTTCTTTTTTTTTTTTTTCAGTGTGCTTTCATGACGTGAAAGCATTCATGTAGCTTTCAAAGTACCTTCTAACGATATCCAATATTTTAGTTTGATTTATTTTAATGTTATATATATTCTTTATAGAAAAGAAAAATGATATATAATCCTATTTCCTCAAGATAAACATTATAGAGTATTTCCTTCTAGGCTTCTTATACGTATCTTTAACTGATGATCATATTGTACATTCAGTTTCAAACATTGCTTGTATTACTTAATATTCTTTATAAACATTTTCCATTCTTCTAGAACATTACTTTTAATGGACTTATTTTATTCTTTGAGTATTGCACTTCAGCTAACCACTCCCAAACTGTTGGGAATTTAGGTTGTTCTTAAATTTTTCAATTATAAATAACATTTAGGTGATATCCTTATAAGGAAATTCTTTGGTCATATCATGATTGTTTAATTAGGCTATATTCCTAGAAGTAAGATCAGTGGGTCAAGGGGTATAAACATTTTCCAAGCTCTGGGTAGATTTTGCTCAGTTGCCTATTAGAAAGGTGGTGCCCGTCTGTGCTCCTGTCAGCAGTAGAGCTTGAATGTGACCATTTCATTGTATTCGCCCTAGCAAAGACCAAGTCTTAATTCTTCGGGCTCACTAGTTTTCAGTTTTGAGGCAACACACGAATAAAGTTATGCTCAAACAGATTAATTCTGGGCTATTGACAAATATTCCAACCCCCCTCTTTTTGAGAGATTGGGAGAAAAAAATTCTGTTTGAGGTTTTAAAAATCCATGACACATGGTGAGGATGTGGAAAAATCAAAACCCTCATCCACTGTTGGTAGGAATGTACAGCTGTGCAGCCACTGTGGAAAACAGCTTGGCAGTTCCTCAAAATTTAAATATAGAGTTACCATATGACCCGGCCATTCCACTCCTAGGTATATACTCAATAGAAATGAAGACATATGTCTACACAAAAACTTATAGATGATTATTCATAGCAGCATTATTCATAATAGCCAAAAAAGTTGAAACAACCAAAATGTCCATTATCTGGTGAATGAATAAATAAAAGGTGGTATATCCATGCAATGGAATATTACTTGGCAATAAAAGGGAAGAAGTACTGATCATGCATGGATGAACCACGAAGCATTATGCTAAGCTAAAGAAATCAGACCAAAAAAAAAAAATCACATCTTATATGATTCCATTTATGTGAAATGTCTGGAATAGGCAAATCAAAGAGACAAAATATAGATTGGTAGTTGTTTAAGACTCGAGGGTATAGGAGGATTGGTGGGTGACAGCTAAGGGGTATGGAATTTCTTTTTAGGATGATAAAATGTTCTAAATTTATTGTGGTCATGGTAGCACAACTCTGCGAATATATGAAAACCCACTGAATTGTAAATTTTAAATGGGTGAATGATATATAGTGTGTGAATAATATCTCAATAAACTGGTTACCAAAAAGGAAAAAAAATCTATGACCCAATAAACTGGATCTGAATTAGGAAAATGTTCTGGGACCAAAAGTTAAATTTCTTCTTGCTGTAGCATATTTAAATCTTACCACATGTCCCAAAATATACACATTTTAAAAATTTAAGCTTAGGTGAAGTAATAAAAATCTCAAGTTGGCTCACCACAGATGAACACCAGCATTTCCAAAGCCAATGCCAGCAAAAGCACTTGCCAAGTGCATATTAGACCTTGCTTCAAGATCATCAGGATTTCTGACAGCCCTGTGGATGACATAAATACCTAACAATAACACATCAGCACTGGCATTTCCTACTGAATAAAGAGCCGCCTTAGGGAAAGATCTGGAAAAAAAGAAATGCTACTCAACAGGAAGAAAAATTAGGCAAGTTATTCCAATGACACCTTGTCTTCTAGACAAAATCCAAAGGGAAACATATTTTCTCATCAACGGTTTGAGCAAAGGCATAATAAATATGCTGTCAGGCTGCTCATGTGATAAAAGTGCCAGGGGAAGAAAGCAGTGACCCTTGGACTGTGAAAGCTGCTCTAGAAAAGTGCCCTGAGACTCATTCTTCTTTTTCATTTGTCAATGACCTTGACTATGGCTGGGAGTGGACTTAGAGTAAACACACAGAATGCACAGGGCCCAGACTGATTCGTGGAAGTGAGTCCCTGTCGCCTGGGGCTACCTGCAGGCCAAATGAGCCGCCCAGCCATCTTTCTGAATGTGACACCTCCTCAAGCTGGACCCACTGGAGACCTCTCTTGGTATCCGTGGAAACTGCACATGTTATTTTATATTTATTACCGTGGAAGTTGGATGTTATTATAGGACGAGCTTGCTCAGTCGGACCCTAATGCCCCTTCGGAAAAGCAAATTCTCAAAGGCCCCTTTCAGATACAGCTCAGCCCTGCTGCTCACCATCCGCTTGGAAACCCTGCCCCAGGGAGGATGCCTAAGATGGCCAAGAGAGCCACTGCTCACTCGTTTCTTTGTGATTCTGCCTGGACTAAGGGTTCCTGCTATGTAATAAAAGTGCCACAGCCTTTTTCCTCTTTTCATCTGGAATAGGTAGGCGTTTGTGTCTTTTTCCAAAACCCAGCATTAGTTCCTTATTCAGCCAGATGAAATAGCAGATGATAAAGCTTCAGCCTTTCCTCTGTCCATTTTGCCCCTCACCTCCCATGGCTGCTCTGCCTTCTTTGCCCGTCTAACACACTGGCTGACCATTATCTATATCCGCTTCTACCCAGTCAAATGTTCCCTGATGGGCTCTGCGAGCCTGAGGTGGTTCCAAGCCCCTTCCCTGCAGCGCTACTACAAAGTGTGGTCCAAGCTGCCCTTCCCAGGGCAGCTTCCTGCTTTGGGCCGGCACCGTGTGCCCATCTAGCCTAACCCGCCATGTTCCTTCCCTCCCTCCCGTATGACTTCCACTCTGCATCAGTCTTAATGTCTCAGGGTTCAGCTTTCATCTCTAGTTCTGTCTTTGCTCTCTCAGGAGCCTCTTGTGGCTATGTCATGCATAAATCTTTCAAAACCTTTTAGGGACAGACAACTCTACACATTTATGTCTTAAATTTAGTTGATGTCCATTTGCTCACAGGTGGATCCCGAGTGCCTCTGCAGAGCCTGATGGGAACGGCCAACATCTGTCCCATAGTTCTCATTTCTGCCCTTGGTAGCCAAACCTCAGAGGACATCTCCCTGCGCCCTAGCTTTGGTTTTGAGGCTTTGAAGACTAAACCTTCTACCTGCATCCTTTGTAGATTAGGCACTCTTATGTTGTCTCTTGTGGCTTTTACCTTTTCAGATCGAAGGATCCGACTTTCATCTGTCCGCACAGGGCTCCCTCCAGAGGCTGCTGGTCTCTGGTGCTTCTCTATGTACAGTGACTGATTTTGTAGGTGAACAGGCTCAGGACATTTTAGGATGTAGTTTGCCACATTTTACACAAGGGCAAAAAGTGGTTTTTCTATTCTGTTTCTGTCCCCTCTGGGTGACGTACCTCTTCAGATACTTGGCAACGATCTGCAGCGCGTGGACTGCCCAAATGTCACTGATTGGGTTGCTGCCCTGGTAGGCCGGCCGAGTGATGGGATTTGAAGGGCAGGGGCTCCGCATGTGGTAGGGGAGGGCAGTGTAGGACTCCAGGGCATGGCTAACAAAGAATATTTAAAACACACAAGTTGAAAGCATTCTCTTCCTCCTTCCCTCCATTCAGATCACAAACTGTCTCAGAAAACTTGGACTCACTCCACTGTGGATTTGCTGTGTAACACTGCTAATCACAATACGTTCCAGGAATCCACCTCTTGTCCATGACAATCATCGCTTATTACAGAAATCAACACAGTGAAGTTGGTGTTAACAGCACTACAGCATTTTTGACCATTATGCATGAAGTTACATACGGTCCCTTTGTAGTGCCAATGCGTCTTTATGATATTGAGTTTTTAAACATTTAAGTCATGAAGAAAAGCACTGAATCTAAACAATGACTTCCTTGTAAAGCATATTTACCATTTTATACCTTGCATTGATCAAACACTGTATTACCCATCCAAAAAGGGTCACAGTTACACTAACCTCCTATAAGAGGACAGTGCAGGGATTCGCCCCCCAGCTGTAAATTCTGGCACCAGACTTTCCCACTGTGGGTCTAGGGGGGAGCCACCATCCTCCCTGTGATTCTAAGATGCGGGTAACTAATAGTCATCTTCATGGTGCTGCTGTGAAAATGAAGTTGACATATGTAACGTACTTAGCGTGGTTAGTAGCATTTTGTAAGACTTACTATTCACCATTATTATTAATTCTTAGTCTGAAAAAAATCTAATTACTTTTTCTTACATGCCCTAATTTCAAGGTGGGCTATTTCAAGAAGCTTCAGACTTTCCTCCACCTGCTGGCCTGCCATGAATTCTAGCTATTCAACTGCAGGAAGTGAGGATGAACACAACCATCTAGATGAACGATTTACTGGGAACACAATATAACATGAACTATTTTGTGGATGAGATACAGTTAACAGTCTTAGAAAGGAGAATTTACTCTCTTTTACATATAAGAAGCAGATAACACCTTTTGAACAAAGCATTACAACTTCAAGAATTAGTTGGTGGACGAAAGCTATGGGTTTGTGTTCTAAACAGGAAACCTGGGCAAGGCAAGAAGGAGGTGTCCACGTGGGGCATACGGGGTGGTGATGAGTTGTCTGAGGTGCAGAGTTGAAGCTCTGTCCTGCTGTGCATCTTGATTCTGGGCCCAAGAGCAGATTTGTCTTTCAGGGGCAGAGTCACCGAGCTGAACACAATGAATCTGTGTAAAACCTGGAAATCTGATGATATTGATTAACAACCAGAAATAAAACTGCTGAGGGGGACAGACACCTGAGTCTTCTATAGACTGCATCTCTTCTCCCCATTGGCAAGTCCACTGGATGCCAATTTACGATCAGAAGGACCCCAGAGCCCTAACAAGGGGAACTGCTTCTAAGGTTTAATATGTGAGTGTGTCCATCTTCAGAGCAGGCCACTGGGCCTCAGGCCAGGCTCCTCAGGCAAGGTGTTCTCTCCCGTGGTCAGTCCTTGGCGGGGCCACTGCCATCACTCTCCTTTCTTCTGAGCCCACTCCTCCGTCACTGACAGCAAAGTCTTTGGGTCTGGGAGTCATTCACTTTGCTTTGGTCTATTATATATTTATTATGCAGTGAGCCTATCCAGCTCAGGAAGGGCTGGCTCCCTCCCCTGCCCTCTTCGTGTGGCTGCAGCCCTGAGCGTTCCCTGGTGAGGGCAGTAGAGGCAGGGCTGTGGGTCTGAGACACTGCATGCCAGCTTCCACTGCTCCTCACGACATCTCTGTGGGCGCAGCTGTGGCTGGGCCGGTCCATCCTGAACAGCAGGTCTGTGGCTCACCCAGGACCTCACCTCACCTCGACAGCTTCAGCATTATCATCCGGCAACGGGGATAATGACAAACAAAGCTGGGGTTGCTGTGCAGTGCTAATCATGACCGACTAGCAAGTGCATTCAGCAGTAAGATACTGTCCATCGGCCTGGGTGCTGAAAAAGCCCTCCAGATGGCAGTGGTACCTACCAAAGCACATCGAAGCCGCTGTTGGCGACCACCCGCTCGGGCATGTGCAGGGTGTGCAGAGGATCAATCAGGCCCAGTGTGGGTTTGATGGCTCGCGAGGCAATGCCTAAGACAGGGATTTTCAACAGAGGCTAGAGGTAGGGGTACAGTTTTGTCAAAAATTAAATAACTTTAGGGTAACAAATTATCCTAAAAAAGTAAAAATATGAGATAAGATCATTCTCATGTAGGGAGGCAGCAAGGAGCAGTGGAAAGAGATCTGGAGTCAGAGACCTGGGTTTTTCAAGAACCTGGGTTCTTGCAGTTACAGGAGCCTGTCTCTTCCCAGTTCCAGGCGGAGTGATGTCACTGACTATGGCGGAGTATTTACCCCACACAAATGCTACAAATCAGGGCTTATTTACTCACTAAAGCCCAGAGATCTGGTTTACTAGCACACCAGTGGTCTGGGTCCTTGCCCTGTGACTTACTGCATGTCTCTGAGCCTGTCTGGGTTCTATGATTAGACTAGAACACAGGGCCTCCATCCCTACCAGAGCTGTTGTAAGGATCACAATGGATAACATGATGGGAAAGTCTCTAAAAAAATGTAAGGTAGAATTTAAGTGTTGGTTACTATTTTTATCATCTTTAACAATGTCAAAGGGTCAAGTAATTTAATTTAAAAAGAGAAGTTACTATGAATGTGCAGTTTGGTGTCAATTTATTGTGCTACAAAGGCCTGGAAGAAGGAGACTCAAGAGGAGGGACGTTTCTCACCACAGCTGAGAGTCAGACAAGAAGACGGAGTAAAGGTGACAAAGAAGGGAGAAAGCAGAATAGTGCTTCCTTGCCAACGGGGCTGGAGGGGTTGACTGGGAAGGGCCATGAGGGAACGTTCGGGAGCTGTGGGAATGTTCTGTATCTTGACTGGGGTGGTGGGTACATGGGTGTGTGTATCTGTCAAAACTCATCAAACCAGACTCTCAATGTGTATGCGCTTTATTGTGTAAAAACCCATTTCAATAAAATTGAGTTAAAATGTTAACAAGATGTCTGAGAAAGGGACTAACCGTTCATCATTGATATACAGTCACTGACCCAGGCAGAAAAATGGCCAATCAAGATTCATGGCATTTCAGTTTGCTTTTGTAGGTAATTCTTGAAAAGAAGTATATTGGACTGCTTTATATTTTTGTATGTATTTGGGAAAAGAAAGTGTGTCTACCCTTTCCTTAACTCTGTAACTCATTGAATTTTAAACATTCGGATTAAAGAAAAGGGGGTGGAGTTGAATGGTAAGAGAGAGAATTAAAAAAAAATTATGGACAGAGTTCTTACCAGTTTTTACTTTCAAGTGTTCATAGTCAAAAATGGCAACTCCGGTAGTTTCACTCCCCGTTCCTGAGGTAGTTGGGACTTGAACAAAAAAATATTAATTTTAACAAAGCATCTAAATAAAAGTCAGTGGAGATACTTAATCAGCCTCAGGAAATAAGGAGCAGAGTTAGAGCAGAAAGCTTTGCTGCCCCATTTGCTCACCTGATGTCTGTGTTTGTATGAACATGCATGTATGCTTAACATGTATGGCTGTGTCTGCATTAACATGTGTGTACCAGGTCTGATGCCTGTGTCTGCATTTAACGTGCTGGCATCCGTGTTTAATGTGAGTGTGTGATGGTAGCGGCTGCATTAATACGCATGCATGTTTAGCATGTATGATGTCCCTAGCTACATTAACATGCATATATACCTAACATGTATGTGTGCTTGGTGTGTATGTAGGTCTGTATCTGTGTTACCATGTATGTAAAGTCCATAGCAGCACTAACATGCATGGATACTTAACATGTATGTATGACACCCGTTATCTGTATTCCACATATGTGTTTAACATGCATGCGTGATGTCTACTTCTGTATTAACAGGAGGAGCTCTGGGAGCCTTGGGTTCCTCCAGCGCCAGAACTTAAGCAGCTGCAGCTGGGTATGCAAACGCAGTCCTTTCGGCATCTCTGGTAAGAAAACTCATATTCGCCATCTCTAAAAGACATCTTTATTCCCTCTTGGCAGCAATCACAGTAACGCCTTGCCTTTGCTGGGCTCTGCGGTTTTGTGGTTCTGTCAAGTTTCTAAACTTTACTAATCACCCCTCTGTGTGATGCTGACACGGTTTCACCAGAGGGTCCCATTTGCCAGACATCAATTATGCTGCTCCCTGCTGATTACTCATTCACGTCAAAGCAGTTCATCTCCCATCCACTTACTCCTGTCCCAGCACAAGGCCCATTCACAGTGGGGGCAGGAGCGGGAAGGAAAGAGAGGACACGACTTCAATCTGAGATTTTTCAGTTAGTGCATTTTAGCTGCAGGACTTTAAACAGTAGTATGCTGACAGCCATGAAATGGGAGGGAAGAAAAGACCGAAAGATCCCAGGGTCGGTGTGGAAGAGACAAGCTGCCCTGACTTGGATTTGCGTGTCTGTGTCCTGGGCGGCCGCAGAGCAGATGTCACCCAGAGTGAGGAGGCCGTGCTAGCCACATGTCCCTGGGCAGAGACAAAGCCCCAGGTCAGCTGAAGAGCCATTATGAGGAAGAAAGGGTTGAGTCAGCACCGGAAAAATCATAGCGAATGTCCCTCTTAAACTTCTGGCAAAATGGGACAAAACAGAGGGGCTCAGAAGACAGACCTGCTGACAGAGGGACCTAATAAATGGAAACGGTAACCTCTGCGAACTTTCCTACCAGTGACTCGAAGTGTCTCTGTCTGTGCAATAATGAAGATCAGGATTTTAAACACGAGCGATCTGCTCTCTCTTCTGATCTCTAACTAAGGCATTATACTGAAATGAAGAACTCAGAAAGCTTTGCAAACGTACACCCTAAAATAACTGGCATGCATTTTCCTAAGGCTTTTTGCCCACTGCAAAATAAAACAGAGAGATCAAAGTCTTTACCTGCAATCAGAGGCTTAAGAGGCACAGTCACAGGCTTTCCCTTCCCAATGGGGGCATTGACATAATCTAGGAAATGGGAGTGCGGGCTGGATGCATACAGATTAGCGGCTTTACAGGTGTCCATGGTGGAGCCACCACCCACAGCAACATAGGCATCAAAAGCTCCCTTTTTGGCAAATTCAATAGCTTCCATGAAGCTTGGAGAAGGGAAAAGAAAAGCTGTTAACGTCAGGTTTTTCAGGATTAAATTGCCACGCCATTCAATAAGGCCTGGGGCAAGTTTTAAGCAATCCTGAAATGTTTTGGTTTCCACTTGAAGTAAAGAACAGCCATAAAAGAATACCTTCTGTCGGTTGGTTCCACCCTCACACTATCATACACCTTAAAGTTGATGCCATTCTTCACGAGGGAATCCATAACTGTCTTCACAGGAGGGAGCTGGGAGAGGTTCTTGTCTGTCATCAGACAAACATTTTTAGCACCCATGTTCTGTAGGTCCTACAATAACAAAAAGAGTTTATAAGTTGGGTTTGATTGCGCTAAAAATGTCATAGACACTTCTGGCAAACTTAACATTGAGTCCAAAACAAAGGACTCAACTGTTGTCCATTTGTGCTTGTTTTTAAATATATGTAACATTTATAGTAGAAGACTGTAGAAATCTTAAACACTTGCCATGCCCACTTCCTTTGTAACTCCCGCTCCGTATCTAATATTTGAAACAGCCATCTGAAAAAAAAAATGATTTAGGTGAGGGGTGTTTATAGAGAGTTGGTCATTTCATTTCTAAAACCCTCAAAATAGTTCCCATTGTCTAGAAATTGAAGTGCATATTCCCCAGCATGGCCTTCACGTCACCACCACCTGGCCTCACACTCATCATACTTCTTTAAGCAAATGCTGGCTCCAGTCACACTGGAATTTTCCCAAATACATCATAATCTCTCAATTGTTCTCTAGGCTTGAAATGCCTGTCTCTTCTTGCCTCCACATCCAAATTAACTTTCAAATATCTTCTTAGTTTCCAATTTAATTGTTGTTGTCTTTATTTTTATTTTTTTTCCCCCTTCATTCACTCATCCAAATGTTCATCTATCCAGCCACCCTTGCATGTAGGTATGCATCCAACCATTCAACCATCCATCCATCCTCCTGTCCAACCTACACTACTGAGTGTTTGCTGTGTGCCAGGCACTGTGCGAAGCTCTGGTAATACAACTATGAACAAGAGAAACATGGCCTCATAAAGTTTACAGCTGAGAGAGAGCTTTTACACTGATGGATGTTGGGTTGATTTTGGCGTGAAGACAAGTTTTGCTTGGTCCATGTTATGTTTAAGTTTCTTTTCTTCCTTTTTTTTCCTTTGGTTTGGATAATAACTCTTATTATCCAAATAAAAAAAAAAGCCAGTGTGACCATCTGGATTTCTCTCTCTTGCATAATTGGGCAGCACAGAGCCTGTGTTCTGGCGTGGCAGCAGCCACGTGGGGCTGGGTGCAGGCTGCACCCTTCACATAGGCCTGTGCTCACAGTGAACTCAGCACTGCCCTCACCTGGACTGCTCCTGGAATGATTAACTCAGGCTTCTGGTCACATTTTAATTTATGACTCTTGAACTAGAAGGAGACGGGGATTTAAACAAATGGTTATGTAATTACACTATGATAAAAATTCATCAGAATTAATTGTTCCCTTATACTGGCTTCAACAGATTTCTTGGATGTCTTTGGGGATTGTTATAATTATAAAACTAAAGAAGATACATCATACAACTTATAAATTGTAGAGTTTGTAGAACTGGGAATTTGCCCTATTTTAATGGCTTATTTGCTTTATTTTAAATAGAGGACAGGATTCTAGACATTACTCATTACTGATAACATACCAGAAAATTTACATTCCATTATTCTATTAGGTACTATTATCCTAACAACCTATTAAATCCTAACAAGGTACTTTGTTTAACAGGTGCTGATCAAATACTGAGACTAGGGAACATCAATTAGTAGCAGATTTCAAGTGAGATAATAATGCATTAGCAAAATACTCTGGTTGTATTTTTTCAGGTCATTCGTAAAACAAAGAATGAATTGAGTCAACCTACCTCAAAGGCATAATCTGTTGTTTTCCCAGAAGGTGAAAGTCCAGGAGCTGGAAATGTAAAAATAAGCATCAGAGTAGACCTCAAAAACAAAGCAAAAATATTGTTATTTGAGAGTAAACTGGTATTTCAGCAGTGAACATAAAGATTTCCCCTGAAGCCTTACCTGAAATTCATTTTTCAGGTTTCCTTGTTGCCTACCAGATTAAAATTAAAACCTGCATTTTAAGAGAATGTAATGCTAACTTGATGCAGATTGTGTGAAAATAGTTACTTAAAACTTTTTTGCCGTTGAAATTAAACTATACTTTTGAAAACATGATGTGTAAAAATACACTAGAAAAAAATCTAGACTTGAGTTCAGTTATTGTTAGAGAAGAGTTATTAGTAAACCCATAAATTACAGTCCTGCTTACACTTCTTATAGCAACTGTGATAATTTGTTTAAATTAAGATTTTTTTCCATGGAGGTTAATTATCACAGTAAGATATTTGTATTTCTCAAGCTTACATATCAACTAATTAGTTTTCTTTGGGTAATTTAATACAAATTTTTATAAACTGATGTTTCTTTGCAAAATATCAGGTTTAGTTATGGCAGAAATGAATTTATCATATTGGGACAACGCAAGAAGGCTGTACTTAATGGATTTTAATCTTTGTTTTCATCCACTTATTTTTATCAGTCTTGGTCAGTCATAAGATTGAAAAAAGTCTACAGAACAATTTTCACGACCTTTTTTTTTTTTTTAAAGAAGAAGAGATCACAACTATCAGACAAAAATCTACCTTCAGTAGAAGTATCCTTAATCATAATTTGAATTTCTTTGATATCTATAGGCTTTAAAGAAATAATCTATTACTCCTGTTACTGAAGTTTAGGAAAAGACATAAATTGGATACTGGAAAACACTGAGATTATCTGTCTCTAAATGATGAATTTTATTGCCCCAAATAGGAAAATTATGGATCTTTGTTGAAACCAATTAAGAATTGCAGAAAATCTGCTGAAGACAAAATTCTGCACGTGTCCCTGAGGGCCTAAGAGGCAGGGCATGCTTCTGCTTAGTGATGGCTGTCAAGGACCAGGAAGTCCCCTGGCTGGTCCTGATGGATGAGTCACTCTCTGGGCAGGAAAAAGCCCTCAGTTAGTTATTCTATCTGTTCTACTCCCCAGCAGGCTTCTTTATGGGTTTCTGCTTAGGATCCTGTCTGTGCAGGCCCCTCCTTTCCATCCCTTACTACTCTGTTTAGATTTGACCTTTTCTCCTAAGAGGTGAAATCAGTTTTTGTGTCAGTATAATTCATGTGACATTCTGAGGACATGCTGAAGCTACAATGAGCTTCCTGCTGCTCTGTGGACAATAGAGTTGGTAAGGATTAAGACATTTGTAGGAACTGAAAACTTTGTCATTTAAAAATACATATCTTATTCATGGGGGTGCTAGGGATTGAACCCAGGACCTCATGCATGTTAAGCCTGTGCTCTACCACTGAGCTATACACACCCCCTTATTTACAATTATTAAGAAATAGAATGTTGTTTTAAAAATTGATACAAGCAAATTTTTTCCTTCTGGGAACCACATTGTTCTTTAGCTTCTTTTCTGTGATGTATTAGGACTTTCCAAAGATCTCATCTTGATTAATTCTGCTTGAATTCAGACAATCCTAAAATCCTATTTGTATCACCATTTTTAGCTTTGGTAAGTAATTCTGTTTAAAATAGAAAGGCATTATAAATAGCATTAAATATACATTTGAGCCAAACACATAATCAGTAACATACATTCATAATTATACATAATATAAATATAGTATAATAAATATAATTATGCATAATATAATTAGAACTACATATTAACCATTTCAAGTAAAAAGGCAACTATTTTCATCCATCTTCCTCTCACGTGCCTTGATTTTCTTGCTTTACACTTTGCCCAAATTTACTGACAACAGTGGGAACTGAAATTGTGGCTAAACACAAAATGTATTATTACCTTGGGAGTAAGTATGAGAATGACCTGGGCATTGGCACCTAGGGAAAGCAAAGAGGGAAAAAAAAAATAAGAAAGAAAGAAAGAAAAAAATGTATATTGAAACCAGAAAACCAAACGATAAGAAACCTTAAAGGAACTCACATTGCATCCTAGTCTTAAGATGCTACCAAATTAGTAGCTACTGGTAAACACTGCACCATAGAAAAAGCCAGAAATCACCATGGACAGTAAGTTGACTCAGTCTCTCCAGCGTTGTAGGCTCATTCTTTTACACTCAAGCAATAGTCGATGCCTGCGGGGAGCTGAGGTGAGCACTCTGGGGCTGCAAGTAAGTTTGATGGGGACTCAGCTCTTACCAGGCTTGGGGTTTGACCCAATGTTAACTACTCGCACCTCATCCCCCTCACCCCTTTCTCCTGGAACTTTCCTTGTAGTTTCCGATTGTCTTCAGGGTGTTTGGCTTTTCTTCAAACGGGCTCTGGGCCGGGTCACTGCCCGCATCAGCGGGCTTGCCAGGTCACTGCCTCGCGCCCCCGTCCTTCCTCGGCTCCGCCGTGTCCCCTCCGCGGCCCCACCCTCGGTGTCCGCCCTCACCAGCCGCCCGAATTGCCATCACATCCGTATCTTCAGATTTTCCACGTCCTCCTGTTTCTAGGCGGTCCCTCCCTTGGCTTCTGCATCCCTTCCCTGTCCTGGCGTCCTCCTATTTATTAAACAGTCCCTTCTCCGGCTTCTCTTTCTGCGGCTCGCTATCCATTGGAGCCTCGCAATAGGTTTACACGTTTCTCTCTATTGCTCGGGGGACCCTGTCGTAGTGGGGTCCAGCAGGTACGTGCGTGCATACCACCCCCTCCCTCCCCAGCCCTGCCTTCAAATCTGGAATGAAAACATCTGAGAGGGAAAAGGGAGAAGGAAGGAAGGAAGGGCGTTAACGCAATGATGGTCAAGATCTCAAAAATGGTGAATTAAGTCAAAACCGGCGTGGGCCGGTGTGAGCGCCACCGTGAGTCGAGGCTGCCATCTCGTGGGCACAGCTGGAAACGCCGCGTGGAAGAGTTCCCGGGAGCATCCCGGAGGGTCTGAGCACCCGTAGCTTCCGCAGGGAAAGAGTAGCGAGGCCCCGGCGCCGTCCTTCTCAAGGCATTACTTTCGAGGTCTTTCCCAGCCCTCCAAGGACAAGAAAAGAGACCCAAAGGGAAGGATAAATCCAAACTCGAAGCTTTCCAATGAAGGACCATGGGAGCACACACTTCCTTCCACTCATCACCCCTTCTCTTTTTACATTTTTCAAGCTCTTGCTACCTTAGTCCATCATTTATACTTCTTATTTGTGGTTTGAATCCCACCCACTCTTGCCTTCCTGGGACCTCCATCTGTCCTAGCCTCCCCCTACTTGATCCTTGTCATCATATTTAAGCAAGACTTTCATGCTTAAAACTCACAACCTCCTGTCCCCTCCCATTTGCCCACCCTCTAGTTCTCCCCTCCTGGCCTGCATCTGCTGACTCCATTTCCTTGCCTCCCACACATTCTTTTACCCCCTGAAATCTGGCACCTGTCTCTACAAGTCCCTGCTCTCCGGCTGTCCCCTCTCTTCCCAGACCTCCTAGCTCCTTGCTCAAACAGCACTGAACTGGGCACCCTCTCCTTGGGTAGGTGAAACACTCTTCTGGCTCCCAAGACTCCCTACTCACCTGGGTGTCCTCTGATTGTTCTTTCTCCAGCTCCTTTTCTACTTTGCCCATTCCTTAAATGTTGGGTTCTGTCCTGGGCTGCTATCAGTCATTCTGACCCTCCATCACTCTTCATAGTCGACTATGCATCAATGCCCCAATCTGGTTCTGTGGATTACTATGGAGTTCTTAATCGACTTCTCTCGGCTCCACCTTTGCCACCTCTTTCCCCACACTGTGGTCAGGGGCATATTTCCAGTGATGCCACTTGCTAGTTTGAAAGTACTTCGATGACTCCCCATAAAAGTTCAGACTTGGCCCTGTCTCCCTGGCCCTGCTCACTTCTCCAGCTTGGCCCTCTTCTCGCTCCATCTCTAACGTTGAGCTCCTAGAAAATTAACTTTGTTCTTTTCATTGCATGGGCCACAAACTCTCTCTCTTGCCTCCAGAAATTTGTCCTTGTTATTTCCTCTGCTTGGAACATACTTTCCCCTCTCTTCTCCCAGGGAACTAGTGTTCTTTCTCATGTCAGTCAGATGCCATTTCCCCTGGGCAGTCCTCCCTAAGGCCTGAGGCCCTGGGGGACACCCTTTCTCTGTAGTCCATTGTACCCAAGGCTCCCTCCACATTAAAACTGTGATCACACTGTATTGCTGGTGCTCTGTTTCTATCCGCCTCTGGATTATAAATTTTGTGACGACAAAGCAAGATCTGTCCTTTTTCACAACTTTATTGGCAGTGGCTGGCATAGTGCCAGGCAGGCACAAAATAAATCCTTAATACTAAATGAATGAATGAGTAAATGAACAAATGTAGACATTTAAAATCCCTTGACCTTCCCTCTTTTTCTGGTGTGCCAAGACTCAGAGCCTGACCTGGGGCCGGGAGAATGTGCTGTGGGCTCCCCCACCTTCTTAGGATGGTCGGAAACCACTGACAGGCTTCTCGTGCTCCCCCCCCGAGAAGCAGAGCAAACCATGGTTAGTGCAAGCCTCTCATCTACCCGCTTCTGGCTCTGGCTCATTTATTCTGGCTTCCCTCCTGGTGTCACTGATAACCTGGCCATGCTCTCCGCAAAGGCCAAACCTCTCCCTTGTGCACTAAACCTCAGCCTTGCTCAGCTCCGCCAAACATCATAACAATACTTCTTCCTTTTCTCTCGTGCATCTTCAAAATTCCCTCCCCAAAGATCTTCATCAGCATGAAAATGTTATTTCCCCCAGGTTATATCAACAAACAGTTCAGCAACAACTTTCTATTGTCCCTCTACCCTCTCCCACTGCCGCCCCCACGCCTCTCCTTCCCTCCAGCTGCCTACACCTGCTCTAATTTCTCTTCTCTCATCCTCTCCAGAACCTTTTCCAATGAGCTTTGTCCTGTGACTCCACTGACAAACTTACATGGTCACTCATGCCCTCCACCCAGTGCTAATACACCACTCAGGTCTCAGTTCAGACCTGTCAGTGGCATCTTCCTGTTCACTCCCTCCTCCCTGGAAATACTTTCTTCTCTTGGTTTTCAGGAGACAACTCTCTGGTTTTCTTCTTACTGCACTGGCTTTCTTTTCATGCTCTTGACTCTAAATGCTGGAGGGTCCCAGTGTTCAGCCTGTGGACGTGTCTCTTCGCTCCGCGCTCACTCCCTTAGTGACCTCACCTGGTCCCATGCTGATGACTTCTACTTTAATCTTCCTGTTTAGACCTCTCTGCTGAACTGCAGAATCAACTGCCTTCTCTCAAGCTTCTTCCCTATCCCATCTCTGACCTCTCTCCCTCCTTAATTGGCCAAGGCATTCTTTTTCCCACGAGGCATCTTAAAGTATGTGTTTCACAGTGAGGACTACTGCTTCAATAGCTTTCGAATATCTATAGGACACAATTAAAATTCCTTAGTATAACAAGGACTATGAAGCCGGAGTATCTGAGTTCAAATGATGGATGTGCCATTTGCTTAGTGTATGACACTGGGCAAATTATTTTTCTCCATGGCTTTATTTCTTTACCTGTAATATGATGATAATACAGTATTGCATAGGGTTGTTGTAAGGATTAGAACATGTCAAGTGTGTAGGACAGTGCCTGGCACATGGTAAGTGCACGGTAAATGTTAGCTGTTTTCTAATTCATGGCCTTTCACCATCTCTCTTTTCTATCTTCACCTTCTCCTGTGAAGGTAAGTCCAGACTTTAACTACTTTTAGATCCTGGAACTGCGACTTTTGCCTCTGGTGCTGCTCTTCCTTTTTGCCTAAAATTCCTCTCTAGTCTCCCTCTTTTCTCCCTCTTTAGCTCCACCTTGTAGTACATTCCCACCCCCACCCCCACCCCCATGTTTTCCCAGGCCGACTCGTGCACCTGCACATTCAACAAGCATTTAACAGGCAGCTACTACGTACCTGGTATTTTTGGAGGGGAAGTCAGACATGTCATAATTTTAATACTGTGACTCCCGTACGTGCCAGGGGGGTCAAGCTCTTGGTGATTTCTCACATCCATCTCTCTTCTACACCCTCTGTCCGTTCTGTTCTGTACAGGCCCATTTTGCCCTGTCCCCTCATGCAATTCCCGCTAGACTGTAAACTGCTCCAGTCTTTCGTCTTTGTATCCCCAGCACCAAGAATAGTTTTTGTCACATTACATACAGCCAATAGGTATATGCTGATCGGATACATGCATTTGTTTTGGTCACTGTGCCAAGCTCTCCACTGCCTGCTTCGATCTGGGACTAGGCAGCCTCCTCTCTGGGCCTTAGTTTTCTCAACCGGAGAACATGCAGAGTAAAAGCGGCCTCACCGC